GGTCGTTCGACCCCCAAAGGGGTCGTGACCCACAGGTTGAGAACCACTGCTTTAGAGCATTGCTTCATTTGGCCACTTGCATGTGGTCTTTGGTGAATTGTTGATTCAAGAACGTCAGTTGTGAGGGCAGTTTTAACTCATTCAGAAATCAAACTTATAAGTATGCTTCACAGCGCACGCCCAAACGGATCTTCTAGAAACCTTGTGGTGGGTTCTTTTCTCCATGAGGCGAGTGAAACGGAAACCAGAGAGCCTCTCAGAGCCATCCAGCTCCCCTGGGAACCGTTCAGCCCACGCAGGTATCTATGGGGGGTGGGGGTGGGGGCGCTCACCACCTGCCACAACGCCCGAATAGGCTTTGTGCTCTAAGGAGGCAAAAACAGAGGCAGATGAAGCCCGATCTGTGACGATGAAGGAACCGCAGACAGGAGCCAGTGGGTGTGAAGCAGGGACACACAAGAGGGCAGAGGGCAGAGGTCTAGCGGCCCAGAGTCCTCCACAGGGAGAGTCAGTGCATGTTAGCATCTTCCAGGACCAGCTTCTGTCTCAGGGGCCTTCACACACTAGTCGCCACGGAGCCACGGTGACCCTGACGTCCCATGGTCTCCAGAGCTGTGACCTTCCGAAGCACGTTGCTGGGCAGTTCCCTCTGGAGTCCGGGCTTCTCATTTGTGCCACCACCTCTAGAGAGGTGGTCCTCCGCATGGCAGGAAACACTTGTGCAGACATTTGCTTTCTTTTAAAAGGTTAATTATGAAGAACAGCCCAGTGTCTACAACTCTGATTTAACCAACGTCTCTAGTCTTAGTTTCCTCTGTGCTTTTAAAATAAGAAATATAAACATTGCACACGGCAGTCAAGTCCTTCGTACCTTAGGCCGAGCCTATGTCCTCCCTCCATCCCTCCAGGCAGTCACTGCCACGCTCTGAGCATCCATTCTTCTTATCAAAGGTTTCAAATGCCCGTGGCCTATGAAGGAGCCCCTGTAAGGTGCCTTGGTGGCAAAGTGCCTCATGGGTTGAGCTGTCAACCCTCAAGGTCACCTGTTTGGGCCCACCAGCCACGCCACGAGAGAGAGGAGGCTGGCTGCTTCCGGACAGATTCCAGCCCGGAACCTGTCGAAGCGGCTCGGCGTTGTCCTGCAGGGCTGTGAAGAGTGGAAGTCAGCGATGGCAGAGAGCTGGGGTTTTGAGGAGCCCTGGGTACAAAAGGTAACTGCGTGGCTGCTCAGCGAAAGGCTGGCATTTTGAACCCACGCGGAGGCTGCATGGAAGAAAGGCCTGGCCATCTGCTCCGGTCAAGATGGACATCTGGAGACCCTCCTGGGGCAATTCTACTCTGGCACAGGGGGTCCCTCTGAGGAGAAGTCAACTGGAAGGCACCGAACTATAACCGCTCCACGTGTGCTGACCCATCAATTCGGCTCTCCACCGTCATTGACCAGATGTTCATTAGACACCTGTGAAGACACTAGTGCACTTCAAGGGACAAACGCCTCGCTTCGGGATGCCTATGGCCTAGTGAGAGAGGGAGGGGACTGGAGCTTTGCGACTGTCATTTCTGTACTCAAAAAAGAGCCAACCTTCCCATGGCCACACTTCTGTGCCCAGCAGTGGAACCGCCCCGTTTCTCACAGCTTTCTCTGCCAAGCTGTGGTCAAAACAGACATCATTCTGCCAGTGGTCTGTCTGGCTGCTCCGGGCTTTGGCCTCTGAGGCCCTTGTTCTGGGCCTCTCCTGAGCCGCAGCTCTCCTGCTCTCCTGTCTCCTCCTGGAAGTGGAACCAGCACCCGTGCTAGCCATCGGTGGGGACCACACTGCACTCGGGTGGCTGTCACATCCTCTGAGGGGCCCTCTGTGGCCTGGCCCTGCGCATGCCCCACCTGTAAGCCAGGGGCCCTGTCAGGAACCTGCCTGGCTCTTGTTTGTCTCCTTCTCCAAGAGAAGACCCTGAGGTCTCCTGACAAGGAATGGCAGGTCCCTGGGGCCCGTGTGGCTTTGCCTGGTCTTTCTCTCTGATTGGGCTTCCGACCACCTTCAGTAGGCCAGGGTCTGCTGTGCTCCACTGCCCACTTCCACAATAAGCCAACCACCTTTCAAGACAGCCCAGCCACCCCTTCCAGAAGACTCACGCCCACAGGCGAACAAAGGAGTCTCCTCCTTCAGATTCCCACAGCAGCAGCCTCTGCAAAGAAACAGCGCTGCCCCAGCCGCTTTGGGGCAGTCCACTTGGCACGACCCTTGTCAGGTTCCTGAGGGGCGCAACTGCTGTCCCTCTCCCTCCCCCAGAGTCTGGCTCTTCTCATGTTGCCAACGCCCTTCCCCAAGGGAACTGAGAGCTCTAGGTAACATGGCAAAGGTCTTGATGCGTGCAAAAAACGGGCAGTTCTTAGCATTACCATGGATATTAATAAATATTTGCCGAACTAGACAAATGGACCAGGAGCTCAAAACAAGGACAAACTCTACAAAAATAAGGATGGGCAAATAGGAGAATTCGGAAGGAAGGCTCTATCCCCATCCCATCTTTACCCTCAAGGAGAGATGCCCACCCCCTCACCCCACCTACTCCCCATCCCTGAACATAAAGAGTTTCAGTATGCCTTTGCCTACATCCTCCACCTCAACCCCAAACAATGTCAAACTGACAAGGTGTCCAGGGATGCTCTCTTACCGTTTCTTTGAAAGACAGAACAGAGGTGCAGATTGCAGATCGGTGGCTGCTGACTGAGGGCCTGTAGAGAGAACCAGCAGCTCCATCACGGTATAAGACCAGCCCTCCCCATGGACGCTCCCACCATCAGGCCAACACCCACCCACCCCGCCCAAACGAGGGAAGTGATTGAGGAGGCCTTGCAGCAGACATGTCACACTCCATGCTCTGATTTCTTTAACAAACGGACCACGTAAGACAGTTTTGCACTTCCCCTTGTCTCAAGTGAGGATGCGGAGGCTTGGGGATATAACAATAACTTGCCTAGTTTACACACGGGTCGCTGTAGAGTTGGGGTTTGAATGTGAGTCTTGCACACTTCAAAGTCTGCACCCTTTCCATTGCACCACCCTGCCCCTCATACAACACCTGGACAAGTCCATGACTAGTCATTACAAGCACACACACACACACACACACACACTGACCAGTACTGCTGCCACCTAAGGCCACCAGGACACAGGCAGGGATGACCACTTGGGTGTCGAGTTCTGGGTGCCAACTCTCTTTCGGATGGACCCAGCTGCTCTTCTCTCGGAGAGAACAGTGAGTAATCTCAGGGCATATCTTGCCTTATCTTGGAACTGAGGGCTCTCAATTACATCTCTGTTCTTGCCACATCAGAGAAGGTGGGAGGGAGACTGCTGGAACACTGGTGGCCAAAGATGTGGGTGTTTTCAAGTGCGGGGCCCAGAGACTCTTGTTAACCAAGTGAGGTCCAGCAAAGGATTTCATCATCAAACATGTCCATGTTGGGGTCGGTGGCCACAAAGGGGGCAAGGAGGAGGGAAGTTGAAGCTGGGTCTCACTGGCCAAGGTTCATGTAACAAAACCAAGTGTGAGCCGGGCGTTTACTCTTCATACAACAATCACTGCATCCAATCAACAGACGAGGAAACCGAGCTCACAGGCTGTGTCCTATACAGTTACTCTGATTCGGAATTGACTAGATGGCAGGGAGGGTTTTTGGTTTTTTTTAAATAAGTTTTAAAAAAAATTGTAAATTTGGTGGGGGCTTACATTTCACATCATCAACTTAGTACTCAACAGGTTAACTGACTAATCAAAGCCCTTAATAGTTTACCCACCACCCCATCCCTAATTTCTCTTCTCCCCTCTGTGGACTCCCATCTTCCAGTTCTCCCAAGTTAACAGCCATCGCCGTCTATCCTCCCTTCTCCTCCCCTGCCCTGTCAATCTCCAAAGTCGGATCCCTTTGGTATAAAAGTCTTTATCTTGTTTTTTCGCCCTTAGATCAGCATTGTCCTTTGAGGATTAATTCCCTCGGTTCGATGTTCTCCAGCTCTAGCCATGTCACCAGGTGTTCTTGCCATGATTTTTCAGTGTGAGTTTTGTTTTTCCCCTCAACCAGGAGAAACAGGAGGCTGGCTGCCACTGTAGAGACTTAAAGTACTGGAAATCCCAAAGGGCAATTCTACTCTGTGCTATAAGGTCACTATAAATCAAAATCAACTTGATAGTAGTGACCTTCGACTGGTTTTTCTCCTAAACACTAGGTACTACCTCCCAGTGAATGTACCTATGTGCTCGATACAGGTAGCCCAGCACGTGGAGTCCAGACCAACCTGGGGCTTTCATAGGAAAATCCAGACAGGCTGGAGTTCAGCAGACAGACCCAGAAACCCTGTCCTAGGCCCTTGACTCTGACTCTTACCCAACTGGACCTTGTCGGACACAACCCTTCAGCCAAGGTCTGGTCACATTTGCAGAATCTATAAGGACTTGTTTACAAATGACTCTAAGTGGACGGTCAGTATGAGAAGCCACTGGTGGGAGCTGTGAAGGGGCAAGGGCTCATGATCACTTACTCCCCACCCCTTCTCCAGCTATCGCTTGGTCAAATAAGTCTGCTTTGGTCATGTGGTACCCTCCTTCTTCTGGCCTGGCCTAAAAGTCCTTCCTTGGATCATACAGCAGAGATGCTAGTACCCGCAGCCCAACCCGACTCAAATACAGAACTGTAACTTAGAGTAAGCACCCTGTGAAAGTCCTCTGACCCACCAAACATCGAGATCGATTTCCCCAATCACAGGACAGATAGGCAGTTCAACAGGGCTTGCTCTCTTCCGCAGACAAGAAACTCATTACCCACGAGCAGTTCCCTGAGTTCCAGGGATGCTTAGTCAGGGAGTGAATCTTCATGTCGGAGCCCCACATCTCCCTGTCATTTTCACCCATTAGTTCTAATTCTATCTCCCTCTTCCACATGATAACCTGTCGGTTCCAGAAGTACGTCTCTGGATGAAATGTTGAAATGCATAGATTCTATGCCACAGAACAACGTGAAGAGGGAGGCTGTCAGCACAGCTAATACTTTTACCTTCCACCAATAGGTGGCAGTGGCAATTGGCTGTAGAGTATCTTTTTGAACTTATGTACTATTGGTTTGCAAGGAGAGCCTGGTGGATAGTGGTTATGTGTTGGGCTGCTAACTGCAAGGTTAGTAGTTCAAAACCCCCAGCTTCTCATGGGAGAAAGATGAGGCTTTCCACTCCTGGAAAGTACAGTCTCACAAACCCATAGGGGCAGTTCTATCTCAGGGACAGTTCTGTCCTGGTCTGTAAGGTCAGTATGAGTTGGAAGTGACTTGATGGCCCTGAAAAAACTTTTTTCCTTAATGGTTTGTAAATGTCTCTTGAACCCAATCTATTTCTACACAATCTATTTCTCTGCTTTTGAAAACAGCAACTGTATATTCCTTGGGGATTTATTCCCAGATTACACATCCTTACTTCCTTCAGACACTCATTTAGGGTGCTGGCATCCCTCATGAGTCGGTTCCTCATTCCTGTGTGTTCAATATTCTCTGAAACACTGGACAGTTGGCCCCCGGAGGGGCCAGCATTGTCCAGAACGATATTTCTCAAGTGACGAAGCACATCTGAGTCTGTGCTCTACCACTTACTACTTGTTACCCTGGACTCCTGCAAACGGGCAGCTCACTAGCTTAACTGGCACGCACTCTATGGAGACTCGCTGCAAGCGAAAGGGCATCGCCAACTGCAAAGTGATGTGGAAAAGCAGTTTCTAAAGCGCATCCCGGCTGTCTTGGAAGAAGCAGTTAGGAGGGCTTAGGAGAGAGGATGGCGAGACTTCGCTCACATATTTTATCAGAAGAGACCGGTCCCTGGAAAAAGACATGGTGCTCAGGAGAGGGCGAGGGGCAGCGAAAAAGAGGGAGACCCCGGATGAGATGGATGGACACAGTGGCTGCAACAACGGGTTCCAACCCAACAATTGCGAGACAGCACAGGCCGAGTGGTGATTTGTCCTGGGGTGCACCGGGTCACCATGAGTTGGAACCAGCCTAATGGCATCTAATACTAACAGCATTAGTGGCACCTGTGGTGATGGCACGATAATGTGTGCCATTCCATAAGCCAGGTCTCTGATCTGCATTGGTGTGACTGGTCTCTTAAGTGTTCTCCAGCTGGTCCAATGCTGGCAGCTTTGGGGCACACTGAGGCATCAACCAGGTCATCAGAAAGCACAGGGAGAAGAGTTATCTCAGGAGGGCTTCACTAGCACTTCTCCAGGACCGGACCTTCCCCTCTGTCAGTCTGGGTGGACTCGAGAAACAAATGCATAGACACTCCTATGTGCATAAGAAAGAGCTTTATGTAAAGAGTAAATGTATACTAAGAAAACATCCCAGCTCAGTCCAGATCAAGTCCATAAGTCTGATATTACCCCATATGTCAGCACTAGACCATAAATTCCTCTTTAGACTCACAAAACACATGTAATGATGTCAAATGCAGGAAGATCACAGGCCAGTGGATGAAAAGTCTTGTGGATCCAGTGGTGGTGTAAGCATGTCAGGGCTGGCATGGGTCTCCACGTGGCTTCTTCAGCTCCGGGGCTATAAGGTAGCTTCTTGTGTCTTGTCATCAGGAATATGAAGCTGAGTCTCTGTGTATCTGGCCTCCAGGGAGCTATTTATCTCCGTAGTGCCTCCAAATGAGGTCATCAAGCCGCGACCACATTGACAGGCTAGACTCCACCCCTCTGCAAGTTGACACCAGATTATGTATCTAGCATACTTGCATCCTTACCAAGGTCAAAGGTAGGGAACACACGCAGGTGAAAATCCTGCAGGTGTTAGCAGGACGTGGGCACTGCAGGCTGCGGCAGGGAAGAGCACGCCAGATTCATTCTCAGGAGTGAGAATCAGGAGGCCGATCCTTTCTTCACGCACTTGCCAGGTGCCTAATTGCTGGTTTCTCCTCTGTAAAATGGTCGCATTTGGAGATAATTTTTAAGGGCCCATTAATCTGTGGTTCTCTTCTATCATATGGACTAGTGATTCATAGCTCAACTTAAGAACCAGTGGCTTCCAAAGTCGCTCCTTCCTGTAGCTGTGACGCGGGGCTATCATGAGGGAAGTCTGCCTGTGTTGTCCATGCTGGCAGGCATGTGAGATGGGAGAACTCCGCGAGGACTCTGGACTCGGCAACAGCAGTGCACACTGGACCCTGAGAACGAACCTCTGATCATTCCGCTAGGTACACAGTGACTCAAGCTTGCTTGAATCTCAAATGGTCATCTCCTACACTCTCCATTCCCGCTGGGTTCCACCTCACTCCACACCCTTCCGCATTTGTCTTGGCTGTAGCGTCTCAGCTCCCAAAGGTGGAGTCTGAATCTGCTTAATGTTCCCTTGACCTTGAGTTAGTAAGTGTTCTCTGTGGTTGGTTCCGGCCTCACTCACTCACTCACTGCCATGGAGCCGATTCTAACTCACAGGGACCCCGCATGACAGGGCAGAACTGCCCCCTGGGGTTTCTAAGACTGTCACGCTTCCCAGGAGGAGATAGCCACCTTTCTCCCTTGGAGCGGCTGGTGGTGTCAAACTGCAGACCTTATAGTTAGCAGCCCAAGGCGCAATCCACCACACCGCTAGAGCTATGGTTAAGGCCTCACTACCAGCTGACAGGTGTGGTGTGAACCTACCCTAGGTACGCTGGAAGAAAGGCCTGG